GCAAAAGACATGTGTTTCTCTTTTTTGGTTGCTGAGTAATATTCCATTGTATATATGTACCACATCTTTCTAATCCAGTCATCTACTTTTGGGTCTATGCACTAATCTTTAGTCCCATGAACCAAAGAAAGAAAACTGACTTATTTGTGCCTTCAAAGCAACATTTTAGCAAATAACACATTTTCTAAATGGTTTATTCTTTAAACAAAGTCAATAGTCTGTAAACTTTTTGGTAATGTTTTTGAATGTTCTTTTTTTGTGAAAAATTACACAAAGAGGAAACATGCTGTTAAATATCAACTATGTTTTTATATAGTTTTATATAGTAATTTGCTGTTATGGAATTATTTCAAACATTTAATAATGATTAAGCAATCTTCTGTTGCATCTTTTTCTAAGCCGAGTTCTTATATTAAGAAATTTTAGGTACTCTTTTCTGGGGACAATTTTCTTGCTCTTAAATATTCCTAATAATTTGAGCTAATATTGTATAACCAAAATATACATGAATGTCTGCTTTGTGATCTTTAAACTATCTGTCTTGTCTTTCATTTCAGGAAGCAGAAGCCCAGGCAAAGCAGCAGGCATGAGCCTTAAACATTTTGTCTTGCATATCCTGAAAAAGGAGTTTTCACTGCTTTTATAAACAAAATTATCTTGGCTTCAAAAGAGATAGGTCCAATGTTGAAATAATAGATAAGTTGGTATTTTCACATGAAAACATTCAAAATGAATACAGCATTAAATGTGATTATGATGAGAATCATGGTAGAGGAACAAAAAAATTTAGACATGAAATAATATTGTTACCTGCAAAGCCATTTTATATATTTTAAAGAACAAACACCTGTCCACTTTTTTTTTTGCATTATTATTGCAGCTTAGGTTTTATATGTAGTAGCCATATGTTGAGGAATTTAAACAGGAGAGAAAGAATTTGTCTCGTTGCCAAACTGCTTCCTTATTCTTAGTGAACAAGATATGTACCTTTTTGATGCGGTGTTATTGTGATTAAAAAGTAGTTGCAGGTAATGTTTATGATATGTCAGACATTGTCATTGCATACAGTAATTATAACATTCCCATTGTTTTGTAGTTAACATTTATATGTACTGAGCTACATGTTTTCCAGGTTTCTAAGTGTATTGATAAATTTTCATCGCACATTTCCTTGATTGAAACAGAGGAACACATACACACACAAACAATAAATGCAGTCAGTTACAAGTTCTTTTCTTAACTACATAGCTGTAATGGAATCATGTTTCTAAGTTGCTTGCCCCAATGAAGTATATATGTTATAAAGGTCTTTTGCAAATACATGAAATTTCATTGTTATCAGATGGCATTAATTCGTTAATTGCCAAGCCTGGTTTTCATAGTGTCCTTTTATCTTTTTTGAGGTAACATTGATTTACAACATGATGTATAATTTAAAGTTTTAACTTTAAACCACTTTGTGTGTATGTTACCATGCCCAACACCGAAGCATCAATAAACAGGCCATTGGATCTTCTCCCCACTCATTTCCCTAAACCCAGCCTCTTGCTTTTAGTAGCCTCCATTCTGCAGTCATGTTACTAGAATTTTTTTTCATTTACTTTTTTTTCCTTCTGTTTATTTTTCCATATTCCAAATACAGGTGAAATCACCTGGCATTTGATTTTCACCTTTTGTGCCACCTAACCCCCTCCATAATTGTTACACATGACAAGATTTCACTTTTTGTTCTTTATAGCTAGTTGTGTTCCATTGTGTACTCTATCTTCTTTATCCACTCATCTGTCATTAAACACTTTTCATAGAAACAATCTTAGTGTTTTTCCCATTTTAAAACAACTTGTGGTCAGATATGTCACTATCCCTCAGATATTTTAACTTTTTGTTTAAATCTGGCATATATTGTCTGTCTACATTAATCTAAGATGAAAGAATTTCTATGCCTCTATTCCACTGCACAAGTATCAGATAAAAAGGGAATTTTAAAAATGTTAATTGGATGACATATAAGAAGACAAGGAACATTATGACCTAAATCACTTATCAAAAAGCTACACATGTTGTATGCTAGTTTCACATTCCTTTATTACTAAAGCTAAACACCTTTTACATTAAATCACTTTATTGTATTATTTGATGTATGCAAATGTGTCCTCTTTGCCAAAATCAAAATATAATGAAGACATGACCTTGTTTATTGAGAATCAAATTTGTGATGCTTTAAAATAAACTTAAAAATAAACACTGCAATTTTATAAACATAATTTATGTGTTCCTGGAGTTTGTAAATGTTATTTTTAATGGGTAGCAATTTTTTAAAAGGTGGGGAAGCAAAAAATGATAGAAAACTACTTGACTATAAATTACAAATTTCCTTTTAGGGTCTGCATTTTGCAGTTTATGCTAGAGTCAAAACAAAGACACGTTTTGTAGTTTTGTGTACATTGTATGCTGTGGCTAAATCTATAGATAGCATTGTGCTTTGTAATAAATTCTGCAAACTATAACATAAATATTGGCCAGTATTTTCTTTATAACTTTATTAAATGCTAAGGATTCTACTTGCTTATAACATTCTATGTGGACCTTGTTAGTTTTATTTAATATCATGGTAGCTAACACTGTATAAAACAGATACACTTCAAAAATAGGTGACATTTTTGAGATGTTAATATCGATTATATTTTACAGTTATATATACACTATATATGTATACATATGTATAGTGTCAAAGTATACATATATGTATATTTAAAATAAAAGGTTAGATTGAGTTTTCCAAAATTGAAACTTTTCTGAGGTTAGGAAGAGCTTTAGAACATTGGTGAGAAAGCAGCTGGCTATATGGCATCAGAAAAGCTTTCTTTATTCACTCCCAAGAAGATTCTCTTAACCGTTCATTGGGGAGATATTACACCCAGAGAATCCTGTGGTTTGGAGCAAAAAAGTTAAACACTTCTTGGACATTAGAGACTCATGCTGCATAAGAAGGGACACAGAGGTTTGTGCTGCACTGAACACAGGTGGGTAGTGAGAAATGCTTAGAAGATGTGGGCTGGGGTAGAAGGTAACGATAGCAGGGCTGCCACTCAGCCAGAAGCCTGGGGAGTGGACAGCTGCAGTGTAGAGGCATACAGCCTTGACTGAGGGAGAGGAACAAAAAGGAACAGGGCTGTTTACCCACAAGCCTATGAAAAGAACAAAGTGCCCTGGAATACACTCCCCCTCACCCACGCATGAGGACTGGTGCTGTTCTCAAGCAGTTTGCAGACTAGAATTTTGTATCTGGACCTCAGAGAAGAGTGGCAACAGTGGCACCACAAACATGAGCCAGCAGTTGCCCCAAGCACATTCACACCAGGGGCTAGAAAAGTTCATTTCCCTCCCACATTCTGTGATGCAGTTAAGAGTAAGGTTTTAGCCCTTACTCAAGCATAGTTGTGAACTATAGAAATGATCTTTGAAAGTATGCTCAGTGAAGTAAATCAGAAGAAAAAAAGTATTGAATGATACCACTTAAAGAAGGAATATAGGGAAACCGAACAAAGGGTCAAAAAAATAAGAAGAAACATTGCAGGCACCTACAGATCTGAGGCTTAAAGCAGGGGAGGGAGAAGACAGATCAAAGCGGGGGTTGGAAGGGCACATAGGACCATGGTGATGATTCACTGGTGAGGTGATGGGGTGTTTGTGGAGACTACACATGAGGGGAGAAATCAAATACTGTACAAAAATGAATAGCAGTTTAAAGCAATTAAAAGAAAAAACTTAATCATAAAATCACAGAGCCACCTGCTGGAGAACAGGTAGACCAATTCTCTAATTTACCGCTATACATACTTTAAAGCAAAACAAAAAACAAAGAAACTGACAACACTAAACCAAAATAAACCCTAGAAAAAAACTCCATCATTGAAGCTCCTCCTAGGTGGGCATGGGAAAAAGCACCAGTGTGGCCAGATGGTCTAGGGTGACGTGAAGGACTATGGGTGCTTGGACGGGGGAATGGAGTGGTAGCATATATGTCACTGTGAACCAAATCATGTAGTGTTGTAAACCTATGTTACCTCAATAATAAAAAAGATAAAAGATAGAGAAATCTAAAACAGTAAAATGGGTAGACAAAAAAGGTGACACGCGGCATCTTGATACCCCAAAAGAGTATAACAAGGAGAAAACAACTCTCCAGAATCTGACCTCAAAGACGAGGAAGGTTTTAGAGTCTTAAGTTGTCATGATGAAGAAACCCAAGAGATGAAAGAAAACACATAAAAGCCACTCAGATGATAAAAGAGAACTTGGAAAAGGTAATCAAAGAGATAACATATTTAAAAGCAAAAGACCCGAGAAATTTAATGAAGAGAAAATAAAAATTGAACCTTTAAGAAAATAGACAACACAGATGAGTTCACTCATATAGAGTATAGAGAAAATAAGACAGGCAAAACTAAACCAACTGCCCTCCCCAGAATTATGATTGCACTCTTGAGGTTATTAAAGGGGGAAGAGTAGGGTGGGACCAATGCAGGTGGGGGCTCAACAGTCAGTGGTGGAGGACTATGGGTACTTTGGTGGTGGGTGTGGTGTAGTAGAATTGATCTGAAGAGTTACGAATCTATTCCTCTAAATCATATATAGTATTGTAAACCATTTCTAACTCAATGAAAATAAATAATAAAATGATGTGAGATCCAAGATGGCATCAGAGGAGTTCCTTGCCTCATTCCCCAGAGTATCATCTAAAACATGGAATATTTCACACAGAGAATCCCATGATTGGTGGTGAAACACACCTCTTGTACATCAGATGCCAAGCAGATTGCATCGGAAGACGTATAGAGGAGATTAACAGTTCATTTAACAATAGGTGGGTGAAGACATTACTTTGTAGAGTCTGTGTTCTAGGGCAGGAGGCTAGAGTACAAGCTGCAGAACTGCCACTTGGCCAGCTTCTTACCCAAGAGTCCTGAAAAAAGAGAACTGAAACATGAGGAGGCACATACCATTGACTGAGGGAAACCCATGCAAAAGAGCACAGGAAGGATATTATGCTGGGCTATGAGCCACCTCTCCCATCCTTGGGACTCGTAATGGCCGTGTAAGTCTCATGAACATCATAGTTGGGTCTGTAATCCCAGAAAGGAGGACTACTGAAGATACCATCAACATAGTCTTGCCTCCACCCAGAAAATTCACACATCTGATTGACTCAGTGTACTCTCCTACTCCCTCATGAAGCAGTGACAAATCAGATATTCACATTTAAGGAGTCCAAAACGGCCAAACATGCACATTTTAAAAAACCACACCAGAAATAAATGAAATGGAAACCAGGAAAACAGTCCAAAAAATCAATGAAACCAAAAGTTGGTTCTTTGAAAAAATAAACAAGATAGACAGGCCACTAGCCAGACTCACAAAGAAAAAACAAGAGAAAGCACAAATAAACAGAATCATTAAC